GTTAAAGTGAATAAGGACAATACCAAGTCTAATGACCCTTATTATCATTTTGGAATGATAGGTTATTGGAAAGGAAACTACAAGGCTATGTCTACTTCATTAACTTCTTGGGTATTGGATGTCATATTTGTATAAATATACAGAAATTAAATAGAAGTAGATCACTGTAAAAGGGAGAATTTGACTTCTACGTTGAAAATGAGCAAATGTTGATGCATTGCCTGTAGGAGCTACTTCTTGCCTTTGCCTTTAGGCTTAATATTAGAATTAGAAAATGTTATTTTGTTCTCACCATTACCAAGAGTATTAAATAAATTTCATGTTTGGACATGAATTATTTTAATGTTAAGGCCAGTTGTTGTTCCTTTTTATTTTTATAATATTTNTTTTTATCTTGATAAGATTTTTATGATTATGATAAATTACAAAATGACATTTATATTCTAAATATTGAGTATTCTATAATGAGTATAGAAATTGAAAGACATAAAAATGATAATTTGAATAACATATATATCTGACATTGCAAATTTGGTCACATAAATGAGAATACAATTCCAAACTTACATAGAGATTTATATTTGGGACAAATGCGAAACATGAAAAATGATGTATATATGTGCAGATTATCCACGAAAAATGAAGTGCGAGATAGGAGAACAGTGCTTTTGAAGGCTTGCAACAACCAATAGAAAATACAACAAGAGCTCAGTTCTTTTTACCAAATCTGAGTTTGCACAATTCTCTCTTCATCCACACTTTCTTTGAAGGAAATGGAAGAAATGTCTCACATTCCCAAAATCATGGGATAGAGAAAAACGACAACTCAAGTCAATTATGAAGCAAACTCACCACATGATAGGTACAATAAGAAAAAGGAATAAGTCATGCACGAGGATGAGTTCAAATAGCCTATCGTGAAGTCAGATATATCACCAGTGTATATGTCACTGGCTAGAAGATGGTGTGAACATGTTTTCAATCCCTGAGATTTGATCCCTTCCACAGCTGTGTGTTTCTCAGTACAACGAAGTCCCAGACATTCTTGCAAATCAGCTGGGCAGTGGTTACACATGCATCCAAACCAATTTACCCGTGGTTTCTTAAGAGCATCACGACTACGAGTACCAGCTGAAGTATGCAAAAGAGGCCGACTCCTTTTGTAATTGATATTTTGCCAACAGCCGTCCTGATTTACAGTTAACTGATAAAGAAAATGACACAAATAAACTTCTGTTTTTGAAGAATATGCAGTTAGACATGCATTTAAGAAAGAGAATACAACAAATATAGAACAAGTCATGCCAAATCAAATGAGTTCCTCAACCTGATCAGAAGAAATATGAACATCGGCATGCCGTTTTTGAGATAGATGTTTCTCACTCTTGTTCTGCTCAGAGCTTGATGCAATCAAACTCATTGATTGTTGCAACTGTTTAACAAATGACACTTCCAAATGATCTAGATACAAATTGTGCTTCGTATTTGTCCATGTTGTAGGGTTATCCTGGAGAAAAAATGGAATCTGAGAAAATTTTCTTCCCGAATACGTACATATTTCATAGAAAAAGGAAAATTAGTTTGTAAAATTACTGCACATATAGAAAAGTGTAGAGCATTTATCTTTTTTAACATTACCTGTGATGGTATAGCATTCCTGTGGGACCAGGTTTTCCCTAATATGGAAGCAATGAGGTCAATGGATGCTTATATTAAAGATCGTAAACCGCCAAAAAGACACTTGTTTAACTAAGAGTGAGTTCGGCATTCCATTCTCATTTAAGAGCTTCTACTTTAGCTACAACTGAACCACTTCGCAAACCATTTTTTCAATGGTTCTTGAAAATGTACTTATAGCATTGAGTATTAAAATTCACCATATTTGTGAGAACAATTTCTGCGTTTTCCTTCTTTTGGAGAAAAAGGAAAGGTATCAATATCCTTCAGGGGAGCCTCCTCAGTGAATCCTGAATCCCTCAACAGGTCACCTGGTTTTTGGTCATCAAGTGCAAAGCCGAAGGAAATTGGGCATTTAATTCTTACATAATGTAACAACATGCAGTTAGCTCATGCGAGATTTACGCGTGATCATGACTAAAATGAGTGCCACAAGACAAAACCATACAACAATGAAAACCCAGCCACGGGTGCTCCTTCTTGGTGACATTTTCAGAGAGATAATTTGTGCAATTCTAGTTTAGAAAAGTAGACCTAATCACTCCCACATCTCAAATCTTCAGCTAACAACTAAACTTCCCTAAAACCTGACAAAATTTCACGAAACGTCTTGAACTTTTTACATTGAAGTGCAGTGCCTTTTTGTTTCATCTCGGTAATTAACAGCAGTGCAACACTAGAGCCGTACAAACACTTTTACAGTGCAGACATAACCCTAAAAGGGATAAAAGCATCGAACTTTTCAGTAATTTTTTACTCAAATCCAATTAAACTACATCAACCATCGAGGCAGGATCTTAACTTCTTCAGGTCTCAACGAATTTTATTATTTTCTTTTACTGCATCAAGCCACCAAACAAAAAAAAATTAAAAACGAATAAAAAATATGTACATGTGTGCATACGGTAAGAAGCGGATAATTTCTAAAATAAAAGGAACCACTGATTACCGGTGACTGATGCAAACAATCTTCGGAATTCTCAGCCATCAAAGAAGATGTACCCGAGTTCAACCGGATCAACTCATTTGCTAGAAACTCTGTTATCGCAGGACTCGCCACTGGCCGAAAATTTTCTTCCATTCACCGGTTAACTGAAAAAATAAGTAGAGAGAAGTTACGAAGGTAGTATAGGTAGGGGGCAGCAAAGGACACGCCGTTTACACGTGTTTACGTGCCACGTCAGATGGCTGATAATATGTTGGCCCCAGTGTTTGCCAGATATTTTCTGGTGGATAAGGATTGGGTTGGGCCCCATTTTGACCTTTTGCCTATTCTATTTCTAAAAAAATGATTATTTACATAAAATTAAAAATTCAGTTTTCAACAAATAGAGTAATGCTATTTGAGTCTCATTAGTGATTGGCACCAGTTTTATTGTGAATTGATTGATTGAATATCTTATATTTAATTCATATATTTCTATTTAAAATGTCCAATTATTAAAAAAAAAATTTAGTGGGCAATTAGATCGATGTTAAGCACAATGAACTGAATAATATTATTTTTTAAATATAACTTTGAGTAATATTATTTAGGGGTTATTTGTTTCTGATTCTCAAAATCAATTCTCATTTTCAACCACACATTTTTCAATAAAATAATATTTTTTATCACATTAATAATTTTTTCTTCTTTTTTAACCATACATTTCCCATCATATCATCATTCAAAATCAATTCTTCCCCCAAAAATCCCTACCAAACAACCCCTTAGAGGTTTGGTGTGGATTAAAATTAAATTTTTAATAGATTGTGATAGTTTGAAATGTGTGGTCGAAAAGTTATGAGACCCATGAAAAATGTGGTTAATATTAATTGTTTGACTTTAATTTGGATTAAAATCAGATTTTAATCCGAACCAAACATGAACTTAGTATTATTAATGTTAAAATACAGTCTAAGTGACGCTATATAATGTGGTTAATATTAATTGTTTGACTTTGATTTGGATTAAAATCAGATTTTAATCCGAACCAAACACGAGCTTAGAATTATTAATGTTGATATACAGTCTAAGTGACGCTATATATTATTAAATGAGAAGTACAGTTAGATGAATAGCTTAATTCTACATTTCATTGACCTATCACATAACAGCATCTAATCTGGTGATGTAACATCGTTGGATAATATTATTTTAATACTTTTTAAAAACTTTTAAAAATGCTTGATTTCCAACATTTCCAAAATGTGTGATTAGATTCCCATCCTCTATTTCTTGACAACACGATTTTGATACCAAGTTGAAAATGACACCATCAAGAATTAAAGAATGACAACGTACGAATGAGAGAGATGTGACAAAATTTATCAATTATTCATATTGAATACTAATCTAGGCCAATTGTGGCCTCCCATGTAAAGAGTGTCGGAGTAACTTAAAGCCCCATTTGGCACCCATTATATTCCATTAAATTATAATTCATTTTTTTTTCTCTTTTTATCAACCACACATTCTCCCAATAAAATAATATTACATATACATAGAAAAAATTTCCTTCTTTTTTAACCAAACATTCTCCAAAAAAATTATTATTCCTCTCGTCATAACGTGGAGTTATGAGGGCCAAAAGGGCGTTAAGATACCTTGTGCCAACCGAGGAGCAAAAGAGAGTAAAAAATAGCTCCAGCATATAAAATATTAAATACTAACAAACTGCAATCAGAAAAATCAAGTGTTTGATTGTGCTAGACAATCAAGAATCCATGGTTTGGCTGACGCTGCTTACAGCATTTCAGTGTCAAGATGAGATCTATAACTAATTTGTGATATCAATTATACAAATAAAATAACTGTATTTAGTCAGGTAACCTGTTCACTCCCAGCAAGGCACAGACAGAGACACAGCGAGCACACTACGGCTCCCCACTAATTCGGGAAAATAGTGAGTTGAGTGAGATGGCGTGATGGGATGGTGGATGTTGCATTGTTTCACTATTATAAACCGTCCCATCCTTGCATCCGAGGAATCACCATAAGCAAAAATGTACACCCACAACCTCCACAAGAATGTAGTAATACCATCAGGATGTAAGAATTTCTTAGACTATGTTGCTCTCCCATGGGATATAAATCCCTCTCCATAGCAAAATGTATCCTCTACACATCTTTGAGATCCGAGAATAATGTATGCCATAGATATCCGGAGATGTTAATGGAATTACTCGTGGATTTAAGCTGGGAAAATCATTCCACTATTCGAAAATCTATCCCCGGGGGTACTCGAAAACAAGACCTTCGGCTACACTCCTAGCCCTTGCATGCCCGAAAAGCTTACCAACAATAGCCAGTGCAAAATCTGTTGCAGTAGCAAATCCCTTACAAGTGATTAGTTTGCCATCAATAACTATTCGGGCACCATCCACCACGTTATCGAGCTTGCTTACCGTGGTGGGATGAGCCGCTACTCGCTTATCCTGTTTTCAGCAAAGAAAGCAGGATTTATGGTACTAATTCAATAATCACATAAACGTTGATGGCATGATTAGTAGAAAAGATTCGATAGTAATTAAAGAAAAAGAAGTTGTATGGTAAGAAGGATTGAAAAGCACCAGACCAGATAGCATTGACGAAAAATAAAAAAAGAAGGCTACAATTTGTTTATTATACCATCCACTATTGCTTAACAAGCACGCAATGAGGTGCTCACCTTCAATAACCCTTGTTTCTGAAGGATAGTAGATGAAGAACAGATTGCGCCTAATATTCTTCTGGCTGTTTCTTGTTCCTTAAGCAATTTCTTCAAAACTTTGGACTTCTGTAACCGCTCAGCACCCGAGATACCTCCCTAAATATTTTGGAGCAAGCAACGGGTTAGAAGAAGACATCAGAAATGGTACCGGAAATCATGAGCTTATTATTTAACAATTAGACTGGCACAAAGCGAGGAAAGAAGAAAAAGAATATACAAGTGAAAAACAGTATTACTCACTGGCAGGATGATTAAATCATAAATTGACTCAGCAGCCGCACTAATCATCTTGTCTGCAACAATTTTAGTGGCACTTGATGCTAAAATCTGCAAAGATTTCTCCACTGAAGCAATTATAACATTCGCCTTTGCTCGTCGAAGAATATCTACAATAGTAACCACTTCAATTTCTTCCAAACCATTTGCAACTGGAATGAGAACCTGTGACATTTGAAGGGAGAAATAAATTGAAATCTGAAAACAGTAGGACAAAATGAATATTCACAAGACAATCGTCAAAGATATTGCAAAGGATGTCGGGAAGTTACATGAGGCACTTGGCTGAGCTTCAAAATAAGTACGTACTAAAAATAAATAATTTTTAATGATCAAAGTTGAAAAGAGACGCATATTTTCACATGATGGTAAGAATTATTACTTTAAAAGTGAGAAAAAAAAGTAACTTGTCAAACATGTTCGAAAACCAAAAGTTGCTCAGAAGCAAGCAACTTTTACTTTAATCTCAACCAAATATGCTGGGGAACAAAGATTTGCATTTATCAATTGTCAATCTATGCATCCCTTAATCATCTATTCACTAAAAAACAACCACTAACGTATTAATATTTTCTATTCTTTCCATGAACCATTAAAAATTAGCAGTATTGAATGGTTTTTGAGTGGGAAATGGTTAGGTGACATAACATGTAGGATATTGTAGTGTCGAATCCAAATTTAGTAAATGAAAGATCATAGACTGGGTAGTAAATATAAAAACTCACTTGAGGGGTGTGATCAAGGGACCACGGAACTTCATTGAATTCTTCTCTCCTAGAATCATTATCAGCAACATTGATTAGCTATAAAAATGAGAAAAATAACTGTTAGATCAAGCTAATTATGCACAGAGCACAAAGAAGCAGATCATGGAAGATGATATAATAACAATACCACAAAAGACAAGCATTAAAAGAACCAAAAAATATTTAACTCGTATTATACAGTTAAAAATGACTACAATCGAAAGGCTAGCTCTTTAAATTTTGATATCTCTTTTGGTGCATATTGTTACATCTCATTTGTGTGTGTGTTTTTTTTTTTTTCCAAATGTGATTAGGAACATAATATGACTAAGGAAAGTAGACATATTTCCTTTTCTTTCTTTGCTGATCAAATAATCACAGAGGAAACCGAAACATCTTCCTATTAGCTTAGTATTAAACTTACCAAAAAACATATTTTGCTCTTCACTCATGACAAAACCAAAACATTTAGTTTGACATGGTGTTTCATTGTTTCCGAATACAAGCAGTTATTACAACAGTATGTCCTTCAATTACATTTCGAACCAGAAAAAAGTTGAAAGAAAAAATAGCCCCTGTTTGGTGTAGCTAAAAATCTGAGTTTTAGTAGATTTTAGTAAAAGTTGGTGAAATATGTGGTTAAAAAGTCTGATAAAAATTGAGGGTCCATGTGTGGTTAAAATTAATTGTTAACTTTGACTTAAATTTTTATCAACTTACACCAATGTGGGCATAGTTCCTAATGAGAAACGCAACTAAATCAAGACACTGTGTATGAAAATCACTATTATAAAAGAGAACTGCATATCTCCATTGACTAGGAAAAACAAATGAAATATAAATAATCTTACCAATGATTCTCCAATTTCCTTGGCAACCGACTCGCCAAAGAGCTGCTCCACCAATGATAGAGCAAATTCAAAAGAAGTGCCAGCACCACGACTAGTTGTTAGCTCTCCAGAAACTTGAATATTTGATTTAACAGCCCAGAATGTGGGAAGCTTGTCCATAAATGCGGGATGACATGTCGTCTAAAAGGAAAAATATAACAATTAGCTGACCCAAAATGAAATCATATTATATGTACAAATTTAACTGAATATAATTATCAACTAATTCAAGATACCTGTTTTCTCCTAAGTAGTCCCCAAGGCAAAAGTGTGACTGCTGGAGCAGCACATATTGCACCATACAACCGCTTTTCCTCAGCATGCTTGCTCATTATATTCTGGAGAGTTTTGCAATCTCGTAAACGTGCAGCGCCTGGCATTCCTCCCTAATCATATGTTGTAGGTTCAGTCATCTATAAGTTTACAGGATTACATTTGAACTAAAAATTCCAGAGTATTGATTAAAATGAACGGCTGTTAAACACGTAATTAGCCATTTAAGTTGAAGAAATTTGAGGGGAAAATTGACAGCATGCTTTGCAAGTAAACAAATAAAAGAAATACAAAGAAGTGATAAATAGCAATGCAATTTCACAGAGAATTTACAACTGACCGGCAACGCAACAAGATCGAAAATGTCATCAGAACAAGCAGAAATAAACGCGTCAGCAACCAGCATGGTACCTCCAGAAGTCTCAACCTCCAGCTTCTCCTCCACTGATGCTAGGGTCACCGCTGCCCCTGCACGGCGCATAACATCAACTGTTATCACTGCCTCCATTTCTTCTGTGCCAAACCCCATCGGCACCAGAACCTACAATAAAACTCCCCAAGTTTGTAAAAATTCAAGATATCAATATGCGCAAACATAACATTTGAAAACTCCAACCATTTTTCGTTTTCAAAGAAGGACCTTATGGAGAGGATATCAGTACCTATAACAATAGCCAATTTCGAAAAATCAAGAATTATAACATATTATAAAAACTCTAATCATTCTTTATTTTCAAAAGGATTTGAAAACAAAAAGGACCAATTTCACGAGGAGATCAGAACCTATAACAAAAGCCCATTTCAAAAACTAAAAAAATCAGTACACCCAAAATCTTAAACTATAAAATAACACAGAAACTCCAATCACACTTCCTTTTCAAAGAGAGGTGAACAACAGGGACCTTTTTGGGAGGAGTAGACGATGGCGGAACGGTGATGGGAGCTAGGGAGAGGGTTTTGGTGGGTTTCAAAGGGCGTTGTTTAACAGAGGGTTTTGGTCGTTTGGGGTTTTGGACTGCTGCGTGTATTAAGGGGAAGGAGTGAAAATTGGTGGCGGAATTGGGTAATGGAATCTTGGGAGTGTGCAGTACGAACAAGGGAGAGAGACTTTTCATTCTCTTTTGCTTGTTATCTTCTTGGTTCGAAATGTAATCCGAACTTCAGAGTTCAGATTGCAATGGATGAAAATTGCAGGGTTTTTGCAGTTTTCCCGGAGAGCAACTAGAGATGGAGATAATTTGGCAAAGTTAATAATAAAAAAAATTATATTTTAAAAGTTATATTTTACCACCGTTAAATTTTAATTCATTTTTCTCCCACCTCTTATCAATTATGCGTTTTCTCAATAAAATAATGTTATATATAAATTCAAAAATTCTCTATACTTGTTAACCACGAATTCTTTAGAAAATACTATTCCAAAATCAATTTTTTAAAATAATGAAACTCAAACAAGGGTTAAGTATTTTAAATTGTTTTTCTTCACATTTGAAATTATTTCATACTAAAATTAGGTCACAATGGAGAATTAGCTCATGTTTGGCCCTCATTAAATTAAATTTTATTTTTCTCTCTTCTTACTAATCATGCATTTTTTAATAAAATAATGGGAAAAATATATTTCTAAGGTATTTACTTTACACCATTTTAAAAATACAAAAACAAGTTCCAAATTTCACAAATCAGGTTTTTAAATTTTTTATTTAAGAAATAATGAATTATTAAATATTTAATTCTAATATAANTATTCTTTGTGTCAAATCACACCTTTTTTGTGGTTGAAAATGAAGGAAAAGTTATTGATGTGATGGAAAATATTATTTTATTGATGAATGTGTGGTTGAAAATTAGTAGAAGAATGAGAATGAAAAAAAAAATGGTTACCAAACGGTGCCTTAATTCTAATATAATATAATTACCCCACCTCCACCTCCACCACCACCACTCCTACCGTTCCGGTGACTATTTCAGCTACCGTTTCGGTCACAACTCATCTCCGACGACTGCTCCTATTCCGACGACTATTCCGATGACCGTTGTGCCGCCACTTTGTTCTAGCGACTGCTCCGATCCAGCAAGTATTCCAACTTCGGCGAAAATTTTTAGGTCATAATTCAAAATTTTCATCGGTCACAACTTAAAAATTTTAAATTCACAATTTGTTTATCGGTCACAAATCACAAAATTTATAAGTCACAAATATCACATTAATTGAACATAAATTATATTTAGGTCACAATTTATCAAATTATTGGTCACAAATTAATAATTTTTAGGTCACACATCATGTATTGGTCACATTTTATCTAATTCATTGGTCACGTATCGTTTGTTGGTCGCCAACCAACCAAATTAGTGGTCACAAACAACCAAATTTTTTGTTACCACCACCAAAATCATTTGTGACCACCGCCTCCACCAGCGGCACCATCAACATCTCAAAACCAACACCACACCCTCCCCAATACCACTATCACGACCCCAAGACCCCCATCGCCGCACGCACAGCCAAAGCAAACACACAAACCACACACAGAACACACAATCATCGCCACCACCAACTTCAGATCCACACTTCGCAGCACGCAGATAACCAAATAATAAGTCACAGGTAACCACCGTGGCACCACCACTACTATCGCACCACAACCACCAATCTTACCAGTCCCGCCAACATCACCACTGCCTCGCCAGCACACATCGCAACCACCACCAAGCCGAAATCCCTAATTAATAACCCTAATCCCAAACAAACCCTAAATCATTTTTCTTCAATCCTTCCATTCTCTCCTTCTCCATATTCTCGTCTCTCTCTTTCTCCCCTCTCCCTTACCGTCCTCGCCGGAGATTCAAGCA